CTCAACAAGTGGAGTTTTTGCGAAAGAATGCAGCACACTGGACAGATTTAGATCTCCACATCTGTCGGCAAAATGAATTTTTATCACTCAATTTTAGCGAAAGACTGGCGGTTGAGAGTCTTAGACAATGTCGCCTTGCCCAGGGTGAATAAATACAGTAAATGCAGGCTCCCACGGAGCTCTTACGCGGATAGAGATAGATCGATCGATAGATAAAGTCGGCACTTCAAATGGCTCTGGTGCAAATAGCAGTTTCATGGCATGCATGTTTTTGGATAATGTCAAATGAAACAGTCCGAAAGCGTTCAGTCCCCCTTTAGCCCAGCAGTGACCGATATAAATTGAATTCTCTTCTGGGTTTCCTTCATACTGTCCCTCTATTTGACAATGAAAAGTTCTGAAGATATATCCAGTACATCTCAGCAAATACATGAGACGTATTGCCAAGACAAGCAAGGAGACATTCAGCCATTTAAAATATGCAATTTCGATGCCACCCAAGATTTCCCCTATATAAGTAGTCGAAGCAGCGAGAAACGGCAGAGGAGAAAACAGAGAATGCGACGAGGAAAACGCATCGGAACGAGGCTCGTTTCTCTCGACGCAAACCTCTGAGTCAATATCCTAACCCTTTTTTCTCATGAGACCACTTGCCGCCGCCTCCCCTGCGACATCTCAAAGCGCTCAATTCAAGAGCATTCAATTTCCCTTCCATCCAAATAAGCCTTGCCACAAACGAATCGAGCACCCTTTTCTCTCTCTTTTCAATTACGTGAGACGCCTGTAAGGAGTAAGCTCGGTGTAGGGACCATTCTGCTGATGGGAAGTTTTCAATCTTAGGTTTCCATATAGTGACATAATAAATGGAAACTAAAAAATGGCTCACATAAAGGGAAAGATGCTCCTTTCACTTATGCCTTATTGGGTACTCATAGAAAATAAAAGGTTAACAGGTATGATATGACAGCTAGAGCGCCGTAGAGAGAGTGGCTTGGAACAGAATTTTATTGGGAAATTATTTATGCTGAGAATCATCTACCTAGACGAATGAGTATTTCCCCATGCTCACAGGCTAAAATTCAGGTTTGGTTGGGGATGCAAGGGGCAACCGAAATCTGGATCTAATTCCTCTCGCTTTTTTTTTCTTACTATACGGGATCTACGTAATATATTGGGACAAGTTTGGGCAATAATGGCCTCCAGACGCCGGCAGGAATAAGCGAAGAAAGGAATACCGGCGTGGCGACTTGCCTAATCGGTTCTTAACGTCTCCTTTGACTCATCATGAAGAATGTGATGGATCGTTTTCACGAGTCCATTAACTCGGGTCAGCGCGGAGAAGGAAGACTAGGGGGGAGGAAGGCTAGTGGGAAGGAAGACTAGTGGGAAGAAAGACTAGTGGAAAGAAAGATTAACGATGATGAACGATGCCCAGACCAGACCGGCGAAGTCATATTGCCCTTCCATGCAGGTCTGGGTGGAGATCTTTAAGGCATTCGATTCGGTCGATGGGATTTTATCGCGTCCGAGAAGCACTTCTCGCCCGAGGTCGAGCAGATCGGAAACCGTCGAGGATCACCCAGGCCGGAATCCACCTGTTTCAGCGCAGATCCCGGGGAAGATGCATCGGAACTGGAGCGCCGACCTCAGGGATCTCGACGAGGACGGCGACCTCGACGTCATCGAAGGCCGGCGGAACGCGTCGGACAGCCTGGCCTACGCCATCCCGCTGGGAACGGGCTTGAGTCTCCTCAGTTTCCTGACGTTTGTGGGGAACGCCCTCGTGCTTCATGCCATTCGCACCGATCGCCGGCTGCAAACCGTAAGGCAATCTCTTTATTGAATAAAAAAATCCCCCAATTTCTGTCTGCATTTTGAAAAAACCAAAGGCGAGCCGTAATATTCATGAGGATTCTCGTATCGAGGCGCCGTGCATAAATTTCTATTTCGGTATTCCCCCTTACAAACGCGATGAATTCGCTTCGATTCCTTCCAACCTTCAACTCGTTTCATTTTCACGACCTTGGTCTCATGGCTTCCTTCTAGACCATGTCTGGATGCGCAGACGAAGCATGGTGGAATAATAGGAAAGGGAAAACGTTGTGTTTTTTTTTACATCCCTTCTCTCTTCTGCAGTAACGAAAGCGATTCCCCCGTATTCCCCCTAGAGAAAGGAATTTTCCCTCTCGCGAACGGGGCTTCGTCGCGTTGCCATATGCACAGCCTAGATGGTAGGGCGGCCCGGCTGTCATTTACGAATGGGGGATCCTGAGCCTCCTTTGTCTTATCCTGTGACGAGAAGAGAAAAGAAACGGACAAGGGAAAAAAAGATGAAGGCGCGGAAGCGTTCTGTTCCTCGGAGAAACCGAATTTCCTCGATGTCACGAGATGAGAAACTTTCCCCGGGATTCGATCGAGACCTGGCGGTGCTGTCTTTCGTTCCCAAATCGAGTTCCCCCGGTCGATCCCGGGCCCAAATTACGGCTCGCGTTGCCAACAGCATTTAAAGGAGAAAAGGGGGAAGGGACTCCCACTTCTAATTTATAATTGATTGAGAGTAACTGGGAAAGCCGTAATTGCTGCGGTTTTCTTCTCTCGGAACTCTCAAAGGAATCCGAATCTCGGCGGTAGTGGGCTCTTCTGCCATGCACGAATTGAAGAGTCTCGTAAAGGGAACTCGTTGAAACGTGATTCGGATCGTCATTGCGTATCTAATACACTCCAACATTTATGAGGACTTACTTGGAATGGATTATCTCTGCTGAATGAAATGGATTCTCCGAAAAGTAAATCCAAATGACAGGTATGAGGCGAGGGGGGGGGGGTAAGAAGATGCATAATTGAGAGAAAACGGACGTGCTCCCGAATGAAATGGATTTCTTAATGGGATGTAGCCATCTTATCCAGGAAAAGGTGATCCTCGTTTGTCCGAGATAACGATGATAACATTATCATATCGAGTATGAAGCCCCCCCCCCCACACCAGGCAACCCCGGAATGCGATCGATCCCTTAATCTGGCAGTTTCTTCTTTTCGCAATCGCGTGTCGCGGGGTGGGGGGGGGGAGGGGGGGGGGGGGGGGGGGTCCGAATGCCAGGCATTCGGACCCCCCCCCCCCCCCCCCCTCCCCCCCCCCACCCCGCGACACGCGATTGCGAAAAGAAGAAACTGCCAGATTAAGGGATCGATCGCATTCCGGGGTTGCCTGGTGTGGGGGGGGGGGCTTCATACTCGATATGATAATGTTATCATCGTTATCTCGGACAAACGAGGATCACCTTTTCCTGGATAAGATGGCTACATCCCATTAAGAAATCGAATGAGTCTTTGAGTCAACAAGGTTTTCTTTTTTCGCTTCTTCCATAAGGCTTAAGGTTCTATTTATATCAAAGGATGAACATTGTGCAATATTGGCGCTTACATCGTGGGGATCCTCTTTTTTTTTCTCTGCCGTTTCCTCACGGCCCTCTACTTTGCCCTCACGGCTCTGCCCTCGTCCGGACCGGCTCTCATCATTGGCCGATCACTCTTTCTAGTTCATCGTGAATAGGTTGAATCTGGGAATGGGCGTGAGGTTGGGGACGGAATCCCTTCGACGATCCCGATTCTGCGAGAGAGAAAAAATCGATGGAGATGCGAGACCACGTATCTCCAAATTGATAGGCTTTGAGAGTCCGGTACCATTAAAATGCACAATGGCAGCAGGATCTCCTGATAAAACTTCGTAAATGCTAGTTTTAAAATTATGTAATTACCTTTTATTTTGATTCCTGCTGAGTAGGTATCATAATAAAAGTATAGTATCAAAGCTGAGTATTATCTTTTATTATATTTTTTGATACCTGCTGAGTTCCGAAAATATAATAAAAACTTTCAAATGTTTGTGATTTTTCCCCCTCTTCTAAGGATTCATATATTAGCATCTTCACCATCGAAATATCAATTCCTTCTGGTCCCTTTTCCTCGATCTGGAGCGACGGAAGCGATGGAATGCATGGAGTATTTCTCGATCGCGATTTCAGTTTATTATCCTCGTAAAACAAGGTGGGGCGACTTCGCTCGCATGTCGACAAAGAACCGGGGAAAAGCACGGATCCCCGGCGATCCTGGATTTTTTTCTCCGTCGCACGTGAAGCCCCAGCCGTGCACGCGACGACGCGACGAGAGAGGGAGGACGTGCTCCTCCATCCTGGAAAGGGCGTGGGCGTGGTAAACGTTCGCGGTAAACGAATCGTTCATAAGTGATTTATTCCTTGCAAGTCTGATGGGATTGGAAGCGGCTCTGCGAAGTGGAACTCCCGAGTGCAAAAATGGTTTACTGCCGAAGTGACAAGACTCCGATTCGCACGTCACGAAAGGAAACTGCGGGAATTCTCTGGACGAAGGCCAGCATCATTCTGCGATTTAATCTGCATGATGACTCGCCGAGATCGAGAGTTCTTTTTTCCCTCGGACTGGCCAGATTCCAGGACCGTGTGTGCATATCGGGCATGGAACATCATTCTTCCCTCATACGGACACGAACGAGGAACGGGATGAACGCTGCCAGGCAATTTCCTGTCCGCCGACGATGGAGTCTCCTCATCGGCCTTTTTCGCTCAGGAATTTCATATATTCGGGGCATCTTTCGCAGTTCTCTCGGGATTCTCACCCCTGAACGCCGACGAAGAATCGAATGAGAAAAATGGAAAACGGAACGAGAGAGGAAAACGAAGGACGATCGGACGAGAAAAGAGACAATAACATCAGACCCTTCCACAAGAAGAGACTTTCACAATGGAAAAGAACTGAAATGAAAACGAACGTGACTCGACGCTCCGTCTGTCCCGGCTCGACTGCGAAAACGTAAAAAAAAGTTCATTGTTTCTGGAGAAACCGAGGAAGCCACGGAAAAAATGCTGACAAATTGTTTTCAACGCTTTTCAACCACCTCGGTAAGCTCGTTCTGCGTGTCAAAGCAAGTCATTAATTATGGTAACTAATTGACCTCTCAAACGCAGATGACGTAATGCACGAACCCTCTACGGTGTGGGAACCAGCAAGCTCAATTAATTTTTTTTCAACTGGCTTGAGTTCTCATCCCCCCCGATTTTGGCAGTTGGGAAGCCTGATATATCGATTGCGAAAGAAGAATCCAGGCGAATCTAAGCCCTCCCATGAAAACATGAAAAATGACTGACGTAAATCAAGATGACTTTCCATATACAAGGCCCCAAAAAGGATTTGTTTCCGCCTCTCTCACTGGAAAATTAATCCAGCCATCTTGGTTATGAAAAATTCAGATCTGGAAAATTAAGTCATGCTTTTTTTTCTTTTAGGAAACCGATTGATTTCAATCGATTGATTGTTGATGTTTTTATTTTTCCAGGCGACTGGAAGTTTGGAGTGTCAGTGTGCCAGCTGTGGTTATCAGTGGACTACACGGCGAGCACGGCGTCGATCCTCAACTTGTTCATTTTGAGTCTGGACCGGTACTGGTCCATCACGAACCCCCTGCGGTACCTGCGAAAGAGGACTAAGCGGCGGGCCCTGTTCATGATCGGCATCGTGTGGCTCATCTCGACCACGTGGATCCTTCCGATCCTGTTCTGGCACCACCTGGAATTCAGAGGGGTCCGTCAGCAGCCGGTCAGCGTGTGCGAAACGGAATTCGAGAACAACGTGTCGTTCAAGATCACGACGGCCGTGTTCAACTTCTACCTTCCGTCTCTGGCCATGCTCTATCTCTACGGCAGGATCTTCTATGCGATCGAGAAGAGGACCAAGTTGGAGCTGGATTCCATCCCGCAGATATCGTTGAACACGTTGAACGCGAGTTCGAGCCAGGACGGGGGCTTCGAACCCGAGCGGGTCGCGAAACGGGGGAAACGGAGACGGCATCAGAACGGGAACGGGAACTTGGAAGTGCGGATCCAGTACAATCAGGAGAGTCCGGACTCCAACGGATCGTACAACAGTGCTTGTTGCTCCGGTCGAGAAAATCAGGATCACAGCGAACATCTCCAATGCTTCCACTGCCAGCCGGGATTGGCCAGGCCCGCGAGCGAGGAGATGAACTTTCGTGCCCAGACCAGTTTCGTGGAACGGGTCAAGGTCGACGAGACTCGAATCCGCATGAAGAAGCATCACAGGGGATTCCGAGGAGGCAGGGCCGAGAGGGCGCGGCAGAGCGGGGCGTTGATCCGCGAGAGGAAAGCGGCCAGGCAGTTGGGGGTCATCATGAGTGCGTTCATCATGTGCTGGCTCCCGTATTTCATTCTCTTCATGGTGATTGCTTACTGCCAAGACTGCATCGATTCTCGGATCCACACGGCTTCCATCTGGCTCGGATACATCAATTCCACGCTCAACCCTTTCCTCTATCCCCTCTGCAATGCCAATTTCAAGAGGGCCTTCAAGAAAATTCTCGGGTTTTCTCCCCAATAGATTTCGCTCTTCTCCCTCTGCCCTGGAGAAATAAAACCCTTCCGGACGAAGGTATCCGACCACCTTTCTTCCACCTGACCGAGAGAAATCTCTCTAGTACTTTCCGGAGTGACGCAAGTAAAAGTGATTAAATAATAACGGATCGAGAAAGTTCCGATCGACCGCAAAGAACCTGTTGCTCGGATTCGAGGGGTCAAAGGGAACGCGAGAATGCCATAATGACTTTCATGAGGCCGATATCAGATTCCTCTCATTTGTGCTTGGAATTCCCGCCCTTACTCTTGCTCGAGTGAGAAAGCAAGTGTAATGAGCAGACTCGATAACGTGGTTCGTAATTCGGACATTTCGCGACGTATGCTGCAAATGAGGAGCGTTAATTGTCTTTGGGCTTTCATTACGCTTGGAGGGCAATCCAAATATATTTTAGGTAGGGTTATTCCGATTATCTCGATATCGCGTTATTTATCGACGTTCATATCGAAGATAAACTTGTATATCGCGATATTGTTTTTCAGCTTCATATTGGCTCTTTTCCGATAACTCTCCTATGCATTCCTGACTGACTATGGCCGATTACAGGAGATTACAGGTTCCGTGATAGACGAAGGAAACCTAAAGTTGGAAGCTTTCATCGCGGTTAGCCGTTTCTCCCCGAAATTGCCAGACCTGTTTGGGAAAGGCCTGGCGAAGGGAAAACAAAATGAGTTTCGTTCCAGAGTGATTCTTCCCAATAATTAGACATATGGGGCATGCGCCTGCCCCATAGGTCTAATTTTTGTTTAATTGTAGCCTAATTGTTGTTTAATTGTCGTCTAATCACCACGTAACACTACCCATAGTTTTCAATATGAGGCTGGCAGTTTCGAAAGGAAAGAAACGAGACACGGATCGCCATAGCTCAATGGCAACACCCTCTGATTCCCTCCATTACACCTATTGTCCTCGGCCTTTTTCTCGGAAAATCGAGTCGACCATGCCATGGTCGACTCCATAGGAAAGACCTGAGGTCGAGACCTGGTCACGAGCGAGAGACACCAATGCCCCATTGGCTTCGTGTCAACTCCATCATCGAGCCGATTCTGACCCAAGATTTATGACACCGCTATTTCGTGCGATATATGGTCCGCGATGTCCATCCCTTCAAAGCCCTTATAATAGGGGAAACCGGAGTTTTTCTTCCTTCCTAACCACTCCTAAATTAGGGATTTCGGGAAGGTTTTGCGGGGAGATAGCACGAGCGGCGGTGATGGATTGAACTCGGTGAGGGGAAGGGAATTTCTCTATGACTTTAGATTGATGAGTTTTTTCTTTTTCTCCTTCCGACATACGCTGGAACAAGCTTCTCATTAATCTCTCTCAGCCCTTTCCATTGTCACTATCAGGTATAAACACATCTGATCGGATCTAACGTCTGTCAAGGGGGCATTAATTGATCTAGGTCTCGGTGGGAATCCCGATTGCCCTCGTGGCCCTT